CATATTATAGACTTTATTATTAAAAACTATTTCAGTCAATTTCACACACACACACACACACACACACACACACACAGGAGTCAGGGAAAGAAAAAGACTTGGGGGTTGATATCACGCCAGACCTGTCTCCTGCAGCACATATCAAGAGGATATCATCAGCGGCATATGCCAGGCTGGCCAACATACGAACGGCATTCAGAAATTTGTGTAAAGAATCATTCAGAACTTTGTATACCACATATGTCAGGCCAATCCTGGAGTATGCAGCGCCAGCATGGAGTCCATATCTAGTCAAGGATAAGACTAAACTGGAAAAGGTTCAACTATCTTATTTATACCTATTACCTTTCATACGCGTTTCTTTTGCCGTATTTGCCCGGTCGTTTCCCCCCAACAAGCGTCCCCCCCCCCCCCCCCCCCCCCCCGACGTGGAATAGGGCAGTTAAGCGAGTGAACTGTCCCGTGAAGTGCCTGGTTTCAGATTATATACAAGGCTAATTTGCCAGGTCTCATTGTCGCTTTATCTTAAAAGGTTATTAAGGCAAGCCACAAGTGGTTGCTCGTTAAGTAGCAACATAGTCGAGGATTACATTGACGGATTGATGAAGATTTACCCACCATAAGAGGCGGCACGGGCATGAATAACCCGTAATCATACATTAATTGAGTCCCCCCCCCCCTGTTCGTGAGACTCCTCTTCTATGTATACATACACAAAAGAGGGGATGTGTGTATATGTATACGCCTCATTTTAAACAGTTTACGGGCTATTCATGCCCGTGCCATCTCTTTGGCTGTCTTAATCTTCATCAATCAATCAATCAATCAATCAGTGGTGGGTAATTTGTGCTAACACAAGTATGCAACCCGCCTGGTAGTTTCTATGTAACCAGGAAGTTTCTCTAAACAAATAAAAAAGTTTTATACAGTTTTATATTTATATATTTTTATTTTTTTTTATTTTTATATATTTTTATATACTTTTATATTTATTTATATATTTTATATAAAAGTTTTATTTTATAAATTTGGAAGGAGGCAAGAATAAGATAAAATAATACAGGACTCTCGACTAAGGGAGGATAAGTGTGGGTGTTTTAGCGTGCAGGTAATGTGAGGTTGTCACGGTGGTTGAGTGCGCGTGCGTGCGTGCTCGCCTAGTTGTGCTTGCGGGGGAGTTGAGCTTTAGCTCTTTGGTCCCGCCTCTCAACCGTTAATCTACAGACTCCTGAGCCTACTGGGCTCTATCATATCTACATTTGAAACTGTGTATGGAGTCAGCCTCCACCACATCACTGCCTAATGCATTCCATGTATGTGTGTGCGCGCTTACCTAGTTGTGCTTGCAGGGGTTGAGCTTTGGCTCTTTGGTCCCGCCTCTCAACTGTCAATCAACAGGTGTACAGATTCCTGAGCCTACTGGGCTCTATCATATCTACATTTGAAACTCTGTATGGAGTCAGCCTCCACCACATCACTGCCTAATGCATTCCATTTGCTAACTACCGTGACACTGAAACAAAAAATCAAATGTCTCTTAATTCATTTCAACCCGTCTTCAGACCAAGTCCATTCCATCCAACGGTCGACCCTAAAGACGCACTCATCAATTTTATCATATTATTCATTCAAAATTTGAATTTTCTCAAATATAAATTATTATTATTATATATTAGCATATTTAGGTTAGATGTTTAGGTTCTGTTGGCGATTATTTGCATTTGCAGTACGTGGGTGAAGCATTTACAGTGTTGTGGTTCGAACACAAGTCGTCAGTGAAGCACTTGTTCCGGAAGTGTTCGGACGTCATCAGTTGAGAGTCGTTGGCGGATGGATGGAATCACTTTTGGCTTTGTTTATGAGAACGGGCTGCTCATTTGGGTTCTCACTTTCCACTGTTTCGCCCTTGTGCGAGCACCATCCATTTTTAATGGTCTGTCCTTTCAATTTTCCCCAAAAATTTCGTATGTGATGGTCATGTCTCCCTAACCATTCTGTCTCACGTCCACGTAAGGATCATTTTATGTAGCGTTCCCTCGTAACTCGTAGTTCTTGGAATAGTCTGGTGGCATACCTCTGAATCTTCTCCAACTTTGTCTTGTGCTCGACTAGCTATGAACTCACGCCTGAGCCGCATACTCCAGGATTGGTCTGACATATGTGATATACGAGGTTCTGAATGAGTCCTTACACAAATTTCTAAATGCACTTCTTATGTTGGTCAACCTCACAAATGCCGCTGATGGTATCCTTTTGAGGTTGACTTCAAGAAATAGTTTCGGTGTAATATCAATTTCTTAGATCTTTCTCTCCATCCGTTTCCATGAAGGATTTCTTCTCAAAGTTGGTACCTTGTGTCCGGTCTCCTTGAGTTAAACTCTAGTAGTCCCTTGTTGGACCATTCTTTTAGGTTGTCCAAATCATCTTGTAGTTTCTTGGTATCTTCTTCTGTCTTAATCCTCCTCATAATTTCTGCATCAGCAAACAGGATAGGTCCGAGTACAGACACTAGTGGGACTCCAATGGAGACATATCGCAGTTCAAAGATCTACCCATTACAGTAAGCTGCTGCTTTCTGTTGCTTAGATACTCCCTTATCCACTGAATCACCTTACCTGTTACTCCTGCCTGCTGCTTCAACTTGTGCACCAGCCACTTTTGGAGCACTGAGTCAAAGGCTTCCTGACAGTCCACAAATTTACAGTCTGCCCACCCTTCTCTCGTATATTTTTTGTGTTGCCTGATCATATAATTTTATTAAACCTGTGAGGCAAGATTTACCATCCCTGAAACCATGATGTTGGTGTCTTACAAAGTCTCTTCACTCCGCTTATTTTCTCAACCTTCTCCGTCACCTTGAATGGTATACAAGTTACGGACACCAGCCTGAACACCACTGCCTTCTGCCCGATTGATTGATGAAGATAAAGCCACCAAAGAGGTGGCACGGGCATGAATAGCCCATACATAGCCTTCAATATCCTCCTGTTGTTGGTGTTTTTTAGATTCAGCTACTCGGGGAAAAAAGTTCCAAGTAGCACGGCCTATGGTGAGCCCGTAGTGGACTTACCTGGCACAAGAGCGGGGCTGTAACTTGTGATGGCCTCCTACAGATTGATTGATTGATGAAGATTAAGCCACCCAAAAGGTGACACGGGCATGAATAGCCCGTAAGTGATGGCCCTTTTGAGCCATTACCAGTATCATTAGCTGATATTGGAGATCTGTGGAGATGCGACTGCACCCTGCGTGACGGGAGATGTCTCCCGTGGCCTCCTACCGATTGATTGATAAAGATTAAGCCACCCAAGAGGTGGCACGGGCATGAATAGCCCGTAAAAGGCCTCCTACCTGTCACCCTTTTTATTTATAGGGATGCATCATCTGTCTTCCAACTTCCTGGAAGGTTTCCCGTTTCCAGTGACCTCTGAAGCACCAGAGAAGTAGTAGCACGGTGCCTGTGTTCCCTCGATTGGTATCCATGACGAGATCATGTCTGGTACAAGAGCCTTTGTCGCGTCCTATTCCAGATGCTTTCATAAACTCATTTCTAACAGTATCAAAATTCTCCAGTGCTGCATGGTTTATGGCCACTTAAGTTTAGGCACGTCTCCTTGCTCTATTGTGAAGACCTCCTGGAATCTCTTACCGAGGTCTTCACGTACCTGATCATTCTCTATGCACCTGTTCCCCCTTTTTATCACCACTTGTTGCTTTACTGTGTTTTCCTCCTGGTGTGGCCGTAAAGCAGCTGTTATTGGATCTTTGCTTTATTTGCCATATCGTTTTCATAATCTTTTCGCTTCTCATGTCACATTGAGATATTCATTTCTGGCCCTCTGGCGTCTTCCTCTGCTCTTCTGGTGTTCCATAATTCTCCTAGATTCTCCACATCCTTGCACTTGCTTTGTCTCCTTATATTCCTGATTAGACTGTAGGTTCCTTCCTTGTAGTTCCTCGCCTTTTGAACTGGGACAAACTGATGTATGTTATCGAGTCTTGTAATGTCTTCTCTCAGAGTTCCGTTTCTTATGGTATTCCTTTGAGAAATTTGCTCATTTTTGTATTTGACGTTTTGGAATGTCGGTCTTTGATTTTCTGATCCCCTGAGTAGGTTGTGTGTGTTCGTGTGTATGTGTATGTGTGTGTGTGTGTGTGTGTGTGTGTGTGTGTGTGTGTGTGTGTGTGTGTGTGTGTGTGTGTGTGTGTGTGAGTGTGTTCGTGTGTATGTGTGTGTGTGTATGTGTGTATGTGTGTGTGTGTATGTGTGTATGTGTGTGTGTGTGTGTGTGTGTGTGTGTGTGTGTGTGTGTGTGTGTGTGTGTGTGTATACTCACCTAATTGTGCTTGCGGGGGTTGAACTCTGCTCTTTCGGCCCTTCTCTCAACTGTCAATCAACTGTTTCTACTACTACTACTATTTTTTTCCTACACCACACACACACATACACCAGGAAGCAGCCCGTGACAACTGACTAACTCCCAGGTACCTATTTACTGCTAGGTAACAGGGGCATAGAGTGAAAGAAACTGCGCATCGTTTCTCGCCGGCGCCGGAGATCGAACACGGGACCACAGGATCACGTGTCTAGCGTGCTGTCCGCTCGGCCACCGGTTCCCCACCGGTGTGTGTGTGTGTGTGTGTGTGTGTCACATGCCGGTCATTTCCAGCGCCTAATCACTTCCTGCAACCCCCTTTTACCTTCCCTTTCTTCCCCTCCCTGTTGCCTCCCCCACCCCTCTCTCCGCGCCCAAAAGCATTTCCCCTTTCCCAGTTGGTGGCGGTGAGCGATCCGGAGTAACTCGACTGCCACAGCAAGTAGTTTGGATGTGGTTTGCCATAATGGCAGCCTGGCTTGTTGAGCCGCTGCTGGAGGACAGGGACCGGATGCGGGCCTCCGGTATTCCTGCTGGTGCCACAGACAGGTCAGGGCTCTTGCCTGTCTACCTGACGGTGAGTGAAGGACAGCTAATGGGGAACTTGTGATGAACGTGAAATGCTCAATACTTGATCAGTCTTCTCGAAAGTGAGGGGTCGTCGCCTGTCACGTCAGGACGTGTGGGGTCGTCGTCTGTCACGTCAGGACGTGTGGGGTCGTCGTTTGGCACGTCAGGACGTGTGGGGTCGTCGTCTGTCACGTCAGGAAGTGTGGGGTCGTCGTCTGTCACGTCAGGACGTGTGGGGTCGTCGTCTGTCACGTCAGGACGTGTGGGTTCGTCGTCTGTCACGTCAGGACGTGTGGAGTCGTCGTCTGTCACGTCAGGACGTGTGGGGTCGTCGTCTGTCACGTCAGGACGTGTGGGGTCGTCGTCTGTCACGTCAGGACGTGTGGGGTCGTCGTCTGTCACGTCAGGACGTGTGGGGTCGTCGTCTGTCACGTCAGGACGTGTGGGGTCGTCGTTTGGCACGTCAGGAAGTGTGGGGTCGTCGTCTGTCACGTCAGGACGTGTGGGGTCGTCGTCTGTCACGTCAGGACGTGTGGGGTCGTCGTCTGTCACGTCAGGACGTGTGGGGTCGTCGTCTGTCACGTCAGGACGTGTGGGGTCGTCGTCTGTCACGTCAGGACGTGTGGGGTCGTCGTCTGTCACGTCAGGACGTGTGGGGTCGTCGTCTCTCACGTCAGGACGTGTGGGGTCGTCGTCTCTCACGTCAGGACGTGTGGGGTCGTCGTCTCTCACGTCAGGACGTGTGGGGTCGTCGTCTCTCACGTCAGGACGTGTGGGGTTGTCGTCTGTCACGTCAGGACGTGTGGGGTCGTCGTCTGTCACGTCAAGACGTGTGGGGTTGTCGTCTGTCACGTCAAGACGTGTGGGGTCGTCGTCTGTCACGTCAGGACGTGTGGGGTCGTCGTCTCTCACGTCAGGACGTGTGGGGTCGCCGTCTGTCACGTCAGGACGTGTGGGGTCGTCGTCTCTCACGTCAGGACGTGTCGGGTCGTCGTCTGTCACGTCAGGACGTGTAGGGTCGTCGTCTGTCACGTCAGGACGTGTGGGGGTCGTCGTCTGTCACGTCAGGACGTGTGGGGTCGTCGTCTGTCACGTCAGGACGTGTGGGGTCGTCGTCTGTCACGTCAGGACGTGTGGGGTCGTCGTCTGTCACGTCAGGACGTGTGGGGTCGTCGTCTCTCACGTCAGGACGTGTGGAGTCGTCGTCTGTCACGTCAGGACGTGTGGGGTCGTCGTCTCTCACGTCAGGACGTGTGGGGTCGTCGTCTCTCACGTCAGGACGTGTGGGGTTGTCGTCTGTCACGTCAGGACGTGTGGTCGTCGTCTGTCACGTCCTGGGTGTTGGCCGTCTTAGTATCCTCATAACTCTTCCCCAAGTCCAAAATTTTTCGGACTTGGGCAAGTCTTACAGTCGAAGGTAAGTTGTATAAATGCAGAGTGAGCAATCGGCTCACGACCGACTGGAGCCCACGTTCGATTCCCGGGCATGGCATGACAGATAGATTAAAGTCGTTTCCCGAGACCTCATGCCTCTGTTCACCTAGTAGTAAATAAGAATCCTGAAATTAGTCGACTGTTCTGGGTAAGGCCCGCCATTGGTGGACCTTGATAAGCCTATCAATCTCATTATATCTAAAAGAGCCCAAAATTTACACTTGGGTAGGCCTATACCAGACAGGCCTAATTTACACCGATATTTCAATTCGCTGGTCTGTCTAACAATTCACGAAGGACCGGCCGGGCTATCCGGTCTCCGAGGCCTGGTTGACGACCGGGCCGCAGGGCCATTGATCCGCGGAAACTACACAATTAAGGTAGGTGCCAGTCTCTCAGCCCGCATAGCCTCAGGCGTCCCCTAACCACAGTCACCAAACTAACGACTGGCGTCCGTCAGCCTGAGTGATGCTTCGACACGAGGGATATGTTATTGTTAAAGATTCGCTACCTGGAACAGTTCCAAGTAGCACGGGCTATGGTGAGCCCGTAGTGCCTTACGACGGATAATTATCCACAAGAGTTAGTTAGGCTGACTGCGGACCACAAGAGTGGAGAGCGAGCGAGCCAGTCTGGCTGGCTGGGGTCACCACCACCTTCCTCACTGCCGTCGCATATATCGTCGCTAAACCACATGTATATCGTCGCTACGACCCATGTATATCGTCGCTACGACACATAAATCGTCGCTACGCCCTCCCAGGGTACACGACACACTTCCTGGTTATTTATGTCTGAGGCGATAGTCGACAACATTCCCCTAACACGGAGGTGAAATTCCGCTCGGAACGCTGTTATCTACCCATGAGGGTATAGGCCGAGAACCTGAAGCTCCCGCTGTACACCAGTCACCTGGGGAGCAGCAGGTGTACACCTGGGGAGCAGCAGGTGTACACCTGGGGAGCAGCAGGTGTACACCTGGGGAGCAGCAGGTGTACACCTGGGAAGCAGCAGGTGTACACCTGGGGAGCAGCAGGTGTACACCTGGGGAGCAGCAGGTGTACACCTGGGGAGCAGCAGGTGTACACCTGGGGAGCAGCAGGTGTACACCTGGGGAGCAGCAGGTGTACACCTGGGGAGCAGCAGGTGTACACCTGGGGAGCAGCAGGTGTACACCTGGGGAGCAGCAGGTGTACACCTGGGGAGCAGCAGGTGTACACCTGGGGAGCAGCAGGTGTACACCTGGGGAGCAGCAGGTGTACACCTGGGGAGCAGCAGGTGTACACCTGGGAGCAGCAGGTGTACACCTGGGAGCAGCAGGTGTACACCTGGGAGCAGCAGGTGTACACCTGGAAGCAGCAGGTGTACACCTGGAAGCAGCAGGTGTACACCTGGAAGCAGCAGGTGTACACCTGGGAGCAGCAGGTGTACACCTGGAAGCAGCAGGTGTACACCTATACGCTACTACCCCAGGTGAACACACTACTTACGACATACCGTTATTAGCCTTCAAAATATACATAATATCTCTCACCTTTCAACACATGCGGCTCTTCACACTCGTCCCAAAAAAAACTGTTCTTTTTTTTCGTGTCACAAGCCTGTCACAAGTCCTCTCCGGCCGTGACAGAAGTGTCGTTACACTGAGGCTGTTTTGTGCCACCACTGGGAGAAGAAAGTGCGGCACTTAACTATACACGTCCTGGGGGTGGAGCCGGCAAGGTGTGACACCAAGTTGCACACACACACCTGTCCGTACCCACCAATCTGTGCATGTGCGAGATCCTTGAAGTTATGTATAGTTTGGGTGAATAGACACTTAATGAAAAAGGGTACTGTAGAAGACCTATTGGCCCAGACAAGGCAGCTAATCTATCTAACCTATGCCTGAACCTCTCCAGTGAATTAACTTCTTGGTTGCCAAATGATAATTGAAACATTACTTCCGAGCAAATGGTTGTACATTTCTTGTCTACATCTAAACATTATAACATTTCAGTCCCATATTTCTCGTTATGTCTTGAGTAATAGTTTTAAAACAATGTTTACATGTCTATAATCTCTCCGTCGACTCGAGTGCTTCAGTTAGTTCACACATAACTGTACACCTTTTAAAAGAATGTAAATTTCTGTGTCCTAGTCAGTCTTCATAAGGAAATTGTCGACTTTCTTCATATGCCTGTCTCCTTTAAATTTAGTGTGGTGTTGGGGTTAAGACTTGGATAACAACAGCCAAGTGGACCAAGCAACAGCCTGGTGGACCAAACTCTCACAAGTCAAGCCTGGCCTCGGGCCGGGCTTGGGGAGTAGAAGAACTCCCAGAACCCCATCAACCAACCAGGTAAGACTTCTCAGTCTCTGGCGGGTTAATAAGGCCGTCATAATACCTTACTGACCTGCCACCGAGAATACACTTGCACTGGACATCTTCCATGACTAAACTCTCAGTGTGTGTGTGTGTGTGTGTGTGTGTGTACTCACCTAGTTGTACTCACCTAGTTGTGTTTGCGGGGGTTGAGCTCTGGCTCTTTGGTCCCGCCTCTCAACCGTCAATCAACAGGTGTACAGATTCATGAGCCTATCGGGTGTGTGTGTGTGTGTGTGTATATATACACCGAGAAACCGTGTATATTTCAAGATGAACATAACCATTATACTTTAAATTTAATTCACATCATGTATGTTTAGTACCGTAGCCTCTAAGTGGAATGCATTATAACAATCTCGTGTCACCAGACACGAGTCAACAACAAAGTCAGCACTGTGGAGGGAATTGCCTTCGCTGCTCACAAGCCCTCACTCATATCCCCAGCCTCACAAGCCTCTTACCACTTTATGAGAGTCCTCTCATAAATATTACCGACCTGCACATCTGGTGGGACACTACAACATCACACCAAAAAAGTTTCTGGAAATATTCTGCTCAATGAACTCTTATTTTAAACTTTTTTATTTTCTGGAAGTAAACTTTTGGGGTCATAACTCTGGCCACTTCTGCCCACACGCCAGAGGATGTTAGGATGCAATGCCAGCTGCTCTTGTCAAGCTGTGCCTTTAATATTACCAAAAATGGTAATTGCTATAGTATGTTACAAGACACTGAAATGTGGCAGTTTAATTCCATAGACTTTTTCATTGCCTTTCGGGGGTCGTCAGGTTTATGAACACCATTACCCACGACCAACTCACTCTTAAATTTCTCACGTGGAATGTGAGAAGCGTGCGAAGGAGGCTGTTTGATCTAATGATGTACGCTGGTGCCAACAACATTGATGTACTGTGCCTGCAGGAACCATACACTGCAAACACAAAAAATAAAACGCCACCCAAACTCCCAGGTTATGTAGCTTTCTCAAATGTTGGTTCCCATGATGTCGGTATCTTGACGTATGTTAAAAGTAACCTAGTGTGTAAACATGTTAAAAACCACAAAAGTGACGACTCATATTATCAGCAGTTTCAGATTGCTACAGCGACCGGGTTTCTTAACTTAGTTAATGTATATGTAAGGTGTGATCAAATGGTGGAAGCTTCTCTCCCAAAAATTACCAGCAGCTCTCAAACCATTGTAATGGGTGATCTTAATGCTAGACACACTAGCCTGGGTGACACCAAAACAAACGGGAATGACAGAGTCTTTGTAAAATACTTAAGAGATAATAACATGTCCGTATTCAACTTTGACTCCTCTAACGTCACACACCTCAGGGGTGGCAGGCTTGATTATGTCATTGGTCACGGTCTCATTGATAATGCTGTCGGAGGATCAATTGTTCATGAATTAGTTAGTGATCATTTTGCCATATTCAGTTCATACACTATCAATAATGTCAAACCCCTAAGCTTTGGAAAAAAAAATAATTAATATCCCTGAAAATTTACACATGCTCTTCAAATTCCGCATTTCTGAATGGTATAACACTTACTGCTTTACTACCGTCAACGCATTATATGAGGACCTGGTCACTGAAGTAACCGCTTTTTATGACAATGTTGTGAAATCCACAAGACCCAAACCAGTGAGGACGGGACAGAGGTGGTTCACTGACTCACGCCTTATGCCCCTGCATGACAGAGTTCTATTCCTAGCTGAGCAGTATAAAACACATAAAACAGCTGACACCCTCAACATATTTCTTAAAGCCAGCCGAGAGTTTAGAGAGCTAAAGGAACAGGTGTATAACCAGCACTGGGAACAGTTTCTGCAAGGCATCAATCATGCAACATCCTCATCCCAAATGTGGAATAAAATTAAAAAGATTTCTCGTCCTAGCAGTCGTCAACTTGATCACCATTCACCTGTAGACTATGCCGACATGCTGCTTCAGCAATATGCAAGCACTGCTAGTATAAGCAGCCTGCCCCTAGATGTGCAAAACTATCTGGCTAGTACTAAAATAAATCGTAACTTCAATATTGAAATTGCCTGTAGTGAAATAGGGCCTGATGATAACTATGGCATAACACCCTTTGAAATTAAAAATGCACTCAAGAAAGGTAAGGCTACCTCTCCTGGAGAGGATGGCATCACATACAACACCATGAGAGTACTTGCTGAGCTGCCAAATAGCCCTTTGCTAGAATTGTTTAATCAAAGTCTAAGGCAGGGTGTTTTACCTGACCGCTGGACACAGGGACTCATAATACCCATACCCAAGCCTAATTCACAAAATTTAGACCCATTTCTCTAACGTCGTGCATGTGCAAAGTTCTTGAGAGAATTATTCTCGACAGACTAATGTTTCAAATCAAGCCCCACCTTGCCCCTAACCTGTATGGTTTCCTTCCTGGAAGAAGCACACAAACTTGCTTTGCTGAGTATTTTATCAGAGGGGGACCAAACTCTCAGGCGGCATTTATTGATCTCCAAACTGCTTTTGATACAGCAAACAAAGAAATAATCCTAGAACAGCTAGCCTCTTTTGGAGTTAAGGGAAGACTGTTGACATGGCTCAGGGGGTACCTGAGTAACAGAACCGCCTCAGTCCTTTTCAAGGGGGTCAAAAGTAAACTCTGTGCACCCTTTGAGTTGGGTACACCCCAGGGTGGAGTGCTAAGTCCTACACTGTTCAATGTTCTGATGCACAAATTAACAATTGATATTCCTACACTACCTGACGAAGCCGTCATTTGTTATGCCGATGATATATGCATTGTTGCAAATTCCCAAACTAGACTGCAAGCTCTACTTGATTCATTCGCTGCTAAAAGCATTGAATGTGGTCTTGTTATCTCTATAACTAAATCCAGAGTTCTCCATCCCAAAGAGAAAACTCATGTCTCTATAGCTTTCAAGGTCACCAGCCAGAACATTGAAACGTGTGGGCAGCACAAATACCTTGGAGTTGGTATTAACAGTGACATTGTAAATGATCTACACCGTAGGTTAAAAGAAAGACTAAAACCATTGAGAACACTTACTGGTAAGAATATTGGTATCAATATTAAATATGCTAGACTATTCTATATGATGTTTGTTAGATCTCTCGTTGATTATAATGCTCTGCACTTAATTAATTTCCCCTCCTCTGTGTTGGACAAACTTGAAGTAATACAGAACGAGGCCATGAGGATAATTCTTGGTGCCCCAAGATGCACAAGAATCATCAACATGAGGGAAGAACTGAAGTTTCCAACCATACTAGAGAGAATAATGCAAGTTAACACTACCTTCTGTCTTAAAGTCATGAGAGATCCTACATCTCCTGCATTGCTCAGAGACAAATTATTTAGTGCTGTTAACACCCTTTTGACTGGTGCCGACATACCAACTCACTCCTTTTATGATAATTGGCTGAGAAACAATGCTTACAATCTCATTAAACTTAACATTCCTTTTAAGTGCAATCTACCAGTCTCTGATATTCCTCTTTATCTGTGCCCCACCATTCAAGTATCATACACACCTGTCACCAAGAAAGATAATGAGAATCTTGCTCTACTCAAAGCTGTCACTCTTGAAACAATTGCCTCCTCCATCGAGAGTCTAAGATCTCACGAGCACTGTGTCTACACCGACGGCTCAGTCCAGTCTTCTACTGGACGGACTGCAGCGGCATGTAGGTTTATAGAAATAATATCTGCACACAGTCTGTCAGTGTCAGGTTAAACAACTGGCTGACCTCCACACAAGCAGAACTAGCAGCATTACATTTAGCAACCAGCACATTAAAAAATATTGGAGGAGGAATAATATTCTGCGATTCAAAGTCTGCTCTTCAAGCAATCGAAAACTTCTCTTGGAAGATCGACAGCAAGAACCTATACTCCCAATTATAAATGACCTAATTGATGCACAGAGTAAAGGGTCTCGAATCTCCTTTGTATGGATACCTTCACACATAAATATAACCCATCATAATGAGACAGACATTGCAGCCAAATTAGCGTGTAACAAGTTTGAAGTTGAATTAGATCTAGGTATCCCCATCTCTGCTGTCAAAACTGTATTGGTCCAAACATTCAGATCTGATAGGAAAGAACTTACTGACTCCCAACGACCTGAAAGTACTAGTATAAAAAGCTATGATTTGTTCAGATCTGAAACCTACATCTATGGACAGCACAAAACGTCCACTAGACTGTGCGACACAGTGGTTGCAAGGATCAGGTTGGGTTACCGTTACCTGTGGCAGGTGGCTGCAGGTGCTGGGAGGAGTTAGCTAGCTTTTTGACACACTGTATTCCCCTTCATATAGTCTATGGTAACTGCACAAATGCAGATGTACCTAACGTATTAATAGTAAAAAAAAAATATGGGAGTAGGAGTTGTGATTTGTTTAGATATGATACCTAATTAAATGGGAAGAGCAAAACACTTCAGACAATGTAAACTAAGGAATGTCAGGATGAGGTTGGGCTACCGTTACCTGTGGCAGGTGGCTACCAGGATGAGGTTGGGCTACCGTTACCTGTGGCAGGTGGCTACCAGGATGAGGTTGGGCTACCGTTACCTGTGGCAGGTGGCTACCAGGATGAGGTTGGGCTACCGTTACCTGTGGCAGGTGGCTACCAGGATGAGGTTGGGCTACCGTTACCTGTGGCAGGTGGCTACCAGGATGAGGTTGGGCTACCGTTACCTGTGGCAGGTGGCTACCAGGATGAGGTTGGGCTACCGTTACCTGTGGCAGGTGGCTACCAGGATGAGGTTGGGCTACCGTTACCTGTGGCAGGTGGCTACCAGGATGAGGTTGGGCTACCGTTACCTGTGGCAGGTGGCTCTTCAGGTGACGAGTCTACCAAGCTATTTGTCAAGTCTGTGAGCAAGAAGTGCTTCAAGATCTCCAGCACTACATTATTTAATGTAGACCAGACCACACACTAGAAGGTGAAAGGACGACGATGTTTCGGTCCGTCTTGGACCATTCTCAAGTCGATTGTGTGAATCGACTTGAAAGTACCTCCCATCTTCCTTAGTAGAAAGTGGG